CACCCATTTATTATAAAAATTCTCAGCAAAGTGGAACTAAAGGAACTCAAAATAACAAAACCACAGCTAACATCGTACGCAACAGGAAAAGCAGTGTTTTACTTAAGATCAGGAAGGAGATCGTGTCCACTATGACCACTCTAGTTCAACATAGTTTCGGGAGTTCTAGTCACAACAATCAGATGAAGGAGAAGATGGAAGGCCTCCAAACTCGGAAGGAAGAAGTGAGACTGTGATTATTGCAGGGGACATGATACCGACATACAGAACCCTAAAGATCCCCCAAACTACTAGAAGTGAGAAATAAACTGAGTAGATTAGCAGGATATAAAATAAATATTCAGAAGTTGGCTGCATTTTAACATACCAATAATGAACTGTCAGAAAGGGAAGTTAAGTAAACAATCCCATTTACAATTGCACTAAAAATACCTGTGAATAAATTTAACCAAAGAGGTAAAGACCTGTCCTCAGAAAATGATGAGACACTGAAGAAAGAAACTGAAGAAGACCCAGATAAACGGGAGGATGTGCCATGCTCATGAATATGAAGAAATAACATCATTAAAATATACATAGTACCTGAAGAAATCTATCGATTCAATGCAATTCCTATTTAATACAATGGCATCTTTCATAGAACTAGAACAAATAATTTTAAAATTTATATGAAACCACAAAATGAGGTCATTCCTGGACCCATGTCTTCCCTCCTTCCAGATCCGTAGAATATTCTAGGGGCCAGCTGCCTCCGATTGGCAGAATAACTGAGTGGATGGCCTGGGCTCTTTCTGATAAATAGTCAAACAGTGCATGCACGGAAAGAGAAAAATAACCTGCCGCATGTGGGTCTGATGAGGGGTAAGTACTCATCCACAGGAGAGTGAAGTGGAGACATGGCACCCCAGTACAGTGACCACCACGGCCTGCTCCTCAGCTCAATCAGACTCAGCAGCTGTGGCCAGGGGACCTCCCTCCATGCTAACGGCTGGCCATGCTCTCTCTCTTCATTTCCAAAGAAATCTGTGGAATCAACAAGCCTCCAAGTCTGTTTGAACTGAGACAAGTAAATGTGGATCATTTGTTTTGTGAGTTAGCAGATATAAGTTATTGTGGAAACTCACTAACTTCCTGATGAAAAGCAGTGAGTACTGTTTATAGTACTAACTAGAGGCCCGGTGCACAAAATTCTGCACTGGGGCGGGGGGGGTCCCCTCAGCCCAGCCTGCTCCCTCTTGCAGTCTGGGAGCCCTCACTCCTTACTGCCTGGCTCACTGCTCCTTAGCGCTGCCATGGAGGCAGGAGAGGCTCCGGCTACCTCCGCTGCGCTTGCCAGCTGTGAGCCTGGCTTCTGGCTGAGCTGTGCTCCCCCTGTGGGAGTGCACTGACCACCAGGGGGCAGCTCCTGCGTTGAGCGTCTGCCCCCTGGTGGTCAGTGAGCATCATAGTGACTGGTTGTTCTGCCATAACGGTCACTTAGGCTTTTATTATATAGACTAGAGGCCCAGTGCACAAAAATTTGTGCACTCGGGGGGGAGGGGGTGTCCCTCAGCCCATCCTGTGCCCTCTAGCAGTCTGGGACCCCTCAGGAGATAACGACCTGCTGGCTTAGGCCTGCTCCCAGGTGGCAGAGGGCAGGCCCAATCCCTAGGTGCAGCCCCTGGTTGGGCTCAGAGCAGGGCCAATTGGGGAGTTGGGGCGCTGCCCCCTGTCATGCACAGAGCAGGGCGGATTGGGAGGTTGCGATGCCACCCTCGGTCACGCTCAGGGTACAGCCGATTGAGGGGTTGGGGCACCGCCCCCTTGTCACACTCAAGGCAGGGTCGATAGGGAAGTTGCGGCGCCACCCCTGTCACGCACAGAGCAGGGCCCATGGGGGGGGGGGTGTTGGGGCTCCGCCCTCTATCACCCACAGAGCAGGGCCGATCAGGGGGTTGGGGCGTTGCACCCTGTCACACACAGAGCCGCAGGGCGATCAGGGGGTTTGGGCGCTGCCCCCTGTCACGCTGATCCCGGTGCCAGGAGGCCTCGCTGCTCTGCTGATCCCGGTGCCGGGAGGCATATTACCCTTTTACTATATAGAATAGAGGCCTGGTGCACGGGTGGGGGCCGGCTGGTTTGCCCTGAAGGGTGTCCTGGATAAGGGTGGGGGTCCCCACTGGGGTGCCTGGCCAGTCTGGCTGAGGGGCTGAGGGCCGTTTTCAGGCTGGCGGGTGACTGAAGCTCCCAACCACTCCTTTTTTTTTTTTTTTTTCTTTTTTTATTCTGGGCCGGCTTTAGCTCTGAGGCCTCGGCTGCTGAAAGCAGGTTTCTGGCCTTTGTTTACCTTCTGTATTTGATACAATGTTGCGGTCCGGCTGGCTGAAGCCCGGCTGACTAACACAGGTTTCTGGGGTTTTGTTTAGCTTCTATATTTGCAACATAGTTGCTTAGAGTTGCAGCTGAGAGGCCAGCAAGTCAGGTGGGGAACGTTGGAGTCCGCAGTCACTGGAGCAAGCAAGCCTCCCTGTTCGCTTCAGTGCATGGCTGCCGGCCGCCATCTTGGCTGGCAGTTAATTTGCATATCACCCTGATTAGCCAATGGGAAGGGTAGCGGATGTACGGCTAATTACCATGTTTCTCTTTTATTAGATAGGACTAGTGGCCCGGTGCACGTAATTCATGCACGTTAAAAGAGAATTAATTAGAGGAAATATTTTAATATTGCTATTTGCCCTTTCTCTATAATAGAAGTGTCAGAGATGAAAGAAAATTAGTAAAATGTATATGAAAATCTCCCTCCTGTCAGAGTCTGGGGCGCACTGTGGGCAGGCGCCACAGCCTGAGGTCCCCCGGTCTGGCACTGGGGTGGGGGGCATGGCCTGAGGTCCCCATCAAGCCCTGCCAGACTGGGGGCACGGCCTGAGGTCCCCTGTCAAGCCCCGTGGGGCAGGGAGCGTGGCCTGAAGTCCCTCGCCCTGGCCAGGTGCCATGCAGCCTCAGGTCCCTGCTGTTCGGTTGTGACGTTATGGCATCCTGGCTAATTTGCATATTCCTCTATTATATAGATAGATAGCTGCCAAGAGCTATCCTATGAGTTCCAAGGGCTTTTATCCCCATCATTTCATTAACACACCTTGATTTTTTATTTACAACACACTGCTCAGGAGAGTAACAATAGCAGTTACCAGTTACTGAACTACGAGGTGCCATGTAGCCGCAAGGCACCTGGCGTGGGTTACTTACACAGCGTCATCTCTGAGCAGGTATTAGTCACATTTCATAGACGCGGCAACTGAGGCCCAGAGTAATGACATGGGTTGTTCAATGTTCCCCGCAAGCCACAGTTTAGCAGGATCAAACCCAAGGATCATTCCTTCGAGCACTGACACCCAGGGTCCCTGCCGAGGGTGCAGGCAGGAGGCTCCAGCGGGGGAAGTGGGGGGGCAGAGATAACACTGCGTTTTCAGGCTTGAGCTGGTTATTTCTTCTCCCAGATTGTGAGAAAATGGAACTTATTATTCTTATCTACCACATAGTCTGCCTTTTCCTTTCAATTATCAATATTTCTAAGAGCTAACTGCAAAACCCATCTCTCCCAAGAAGTCATCTTTGATTAGCTCTACTGTTTAACCCTGCTCTCCCCTGTCTTTCTAATACAACATTTAAGCAAATTTCCCACTGAAGGTGAAATTGAGGGCCACTTCAACATTGATTTCTTTTGTTTATTCCCAAAGTAAAGTAAATTAGTTGTTCTCGAACAAGTCAATGCATCTTTACAAAAAGGAGATAATATTCACTTTTATCTAGTTTATTTCCAACTCAGACATTTCAATTCAATTTGTAAATGCTATTATTTTTAATTTAAATTTGGTTAGTATTACTTTTCACTTGTAATTTTTTCTTGTCAAAGTTTTCTCGTTCTTTCAAGTGCATTTATTTTCCTCTCTGGAACAGATGTTACTAGTAAGTTCCTAAGGCAGGGAACATGCTTTATCATCCTAACAACACCTCTAGCACAGGGATCTGCAAAGAGCCGGCACCCATACTTGCTGTTGTTAGCTGCCTGCTCACAGTGGGAGGCACTGATGGTGTCAGGTGGGTGAGATTCCCTGAGATGGACATTAGTGAGTTGTATAATAGCTGATCACTGGGTTGTACACCTGAAACTAATGTAATATTACATGTCAACTGTAATAAAAATAAAATCTAATTCAGTGTAAACATAAATAAGTAAAATTTATAAAGTACAAAGTAAACGATTTAGTGGGCGCCTATGTTCTACGAAGTGATAGGCACAAAGGACGCCTCCAGGAGCTGCCCGCCTGCGCCCTCTGTGGAGGGGAGCAAAGGCCAGATGTGGGGGCGTGGCCTTCGCAGTCCAGATGAGTCCCTGGGGAACCCCCGGGAGGAAAGGCACCGCTTTCGCTTGCTCCTGTGGGGCCTCAATCGCCAGAAAAGGCAAAGCCACTCGGCCAGCCGCAGGCCCTCTTTCCCAGTTAAATATGTCCTCGGCTGAGGCCAATGCCAATGTGGGACTCAGAGCTCCCACCCTCAAGGCGTTCCGCAGCTCTCAATCAAGTCAGCGGGAGAGAGGCCAGGGCAGGGCAGCGGGAGAGAGGAGGGGTCCGCCGCGGTCTCTGCCGAGGAGGGGGGGACCGGCCTTAATTCATTTCCAAGCCCCATACTTCCAGTGAGCGAAGCGCCTCTGCGCCTGTGCGGACCTCCCTGCAGATGCGCACCCACTCCTCACAGCAAAGCGCGGAGGTCGGCCAATTGGGATCACCTTTTTTTTTTTTTTTTAATGTTTTCCCACTGATTTTTAGGGAGAGTGGAAGAGAGAGAAAGAGAGAAACATCCATGTGAGAGAAGCACATCGATTGGTTGCCTCCTGCACAGGCTCCGGGCGGGGGGAGGAGCCTGCAACCGAGGTGCGCGCCCTTGACCTGATGATCCGGGGCGAACCCGGGGCTCTGCCCAGGGAGCCACAGGGCCAGGGCGGAAGGGCCAGGGCGGGGCACCGGCAGCAGCGGGTCGGGCGCCCACCTCGTAGTATTTGCCATCGGCGTAGCAGCCACAGCTGTGCGGCAGGATGCAGCTCTTGCCGTTGAGCACGTAGCCCCGTCGCACTGGCAGCCCTCCACGCAGTAGTGGTGCAGTCGCTCTTGAGGCGGATGCGGCAGCGCGGCTGGCACACACTCACGCAGCTCTCGTAGTGGCTGTGGG